CCTGATGTGTTATTTGCTAACTGGCCAACTTTACATCTAGTCTGGGTTAGTTAAGCCGTCCCAGAGCTGTCAGCTAGCATAAACTCTTAATTTCCTTCAACTGCTTCCAGAGACCAGAGCTCTGTGTTGTTGTCGGTCAGTGGAAAGTGTTTAAAATAAGATTTTTTTTAATTAAAAGAAAGAAAAGTGCAAAAAAAAGTTTTTCGTTCTCTTCATGACTTCAATTCTGATTCAAAATAATAAATTATCATTAAATTATGCAAATAACAGCACACATTAAAACAGGTTTTTACCTGTATTAATGTGTGCAAACGTAACACATTAGACTGCAAAAGCCTGTAAATATGATGTCCTGTGGCAGCAGCTAACAGATCGGATCGATGAGAAGTGTAACGTAAGACGTGGGCTGCTCAGGTTACAAAGATTAAACTTATTGACCTCTGTTATGCGGTGAGGAAGGAAAATTAAACCTTTCCTTTTAGAACTGTGAAGAGATCGTTTTTGCGAACGAGCACGTGTACGACTGTTTTCAGTGTGAAACATGCGTAACGCAAGTTAAACATAATACTCACAAAGGATTTGTTCATGGCTCGTTTGACCTCGTCTGAACCATCCGAGTAGATCTGCTGGAAGAGCTTGTTGAGTGCCGCGTCTCCCTCCACCTGCTCATTTTTCTCCTCCTCGTTTATCTCCACCACCAACTTGTCCCACTTGCAGGTGTAGTGGGACGATGTGGGGTACTGGTCTGATGAAGAAAGACCGCAGAGTTATTGAGCAGAAATCTTTCAATTCCATCAGAGCCCAAAATAAAAAGAGCTCACTGCTTTTGTGAAAACACTTCAAATGTTCATTAACATTTTTAATTAAACACGCTGACTTTTATCATCCAATCACAGCGCACAGACTCAACTGTCAGCTCCTAACCAATTTCACTCTCCTTGCCACCGAATCGTCCGACTTAGATGGCGAAGAATCCCATTGTGATTTGATTTCTATATTTTTCTGGATGCGATACACCCACCATAATCCCAACAAGAGATGGCGGGATGGGGGGGGGAGAGCAGGAAATGTAATCCAGACGCAGATTTACATAAATACAGCAGCAAAATGCACAGCAGACAGATTCAGGCCAAGTGTGGACAAACTGAGATGCCGTGCCATAAAAATAAAATGTCAAATATGATGTTTAAATGAAACCGCAGTCCAATTTAAAAGCGAGCGCTAATAAACAAGATGTCCTAGAGAATGAGCTGGAGGGGGAAAAAACAACATAGTTTGGCTCCCCACTTAACTTTTACTCCCCTTCAAACACACACTTACATAAGTAATTAATCCTGTCAGTAATAGGAATGTGTGGGTTAAAATACTGAGTCATATTCCGCTGTCATACCTTTCCCTCTCACTGCCTACTTTCGCCGTCAGACTAATGAAAGACTCCAGCAGGGCTCGACTGCCCACTCTCATTTTAGTGCAGAACAGACAAACACAGGAGCTTATATTGATCTTTGCAGAGAGAGGGAGAAATAAGAAGGGAGAAAAGGAGAGAGACAGGAGAACAGTCTGGTGGTGGTGGTGGTGGTGGTGGTGGTGAGAGGTGGGGTGGAAGAGGGCAAATGTCGAAGCTGCAGACTGACTTGGATTGAAGTGTTTGACGCTGGACTCGTGTCCTTCTCCCTCCAGCTTCTCCCATCTGACGGCTTCCGTCTTCTTCATCTTGATCTCCACCTGACGGAGGAGAAGAGGAGGAAGACACGAGAGGAGAAAAAGGGGAGTTAACGATTCTTAAAAAGAAGCAAAAAGAAAGGGAAAAAAAAATGTTGTCTTTGGTGCGTAGCACAAAAATAACTCTTCCACTAAAGTGGCAGCTTAAAAGTTCAGGACATCAGATCATTATTGAGGCCGGAGAGACCGGCTCGTTCAGAGCCGCCGTCAACTTTGTGTGTGTGTGTGTGAGCGGGAGAGAGAGACACATCAGGGATGTGCGGGGGCACAGCTCAATCTCAAACCTCACTGACAGACATACTGCACTAACGAGATGCCTGTCAGCCAGAGGGGCCAGTGTGAGAGACGGAGCGTGAGGGGGAGGAGGGCGGGAGATCCTAATTCCACACAGCAGCATCTGATCCGAATCATTACACCGGGAGAACATGGTAGAGGAAGAAAACAATGAGGGGAGAGAGGACATGGACACATGCTTTTAACACTGAGCCACACTGACAGGGCACATAGCAGCAAGACACGCGAGCAGCAGCTCCATGCGTCCCCCCGCCTCCTACAAACCTTCCACACACACACACAGAGTCCACTTTCACCCATTAATGGTGCGTGTGTTTGATATGTGTGCATGTGAAAGACAGAGCTGGTGATGTCGGCGCAATTAAGGAACATTTCTGCTCTGCTAGGCGATGTGATTATTCATTTATGAGGGTGCCAAGAGAGGAGGTTAGGGACGGGGAGGCAGGGAGGCTGACTGACACAGACTGAGGTGTGAGCGAGGGGAGCAGATTGAGGGAAATGAGACAGTATGACCGCTGCTAGCTTCTCCGCCGAGGTGATGAGCTAGTGCGAGTGGCTTTACACTGATAGATCGCTTTGGTGTGTGTCAGCGCTTTCTGCTCCACAAAGGGCCTCGTGCACACGGCGAGGCATCTGTGCAGTGTCCGAAATTAACTTTTGGGCTCAGCTGCAAAGGGCTGAACAGCTTAAAAAAAAACAAACAAACCCAAAAACACAAGGTGTCCCCTGACAATACAGGTTACTGCTGGAATAATTCATTGCCGTTTTAAGCAGACCAGCCGGATTGTGCGAAAAGGGAGAATTCTTAATTTCTAGTACACCGTCTACTCACCCCCAGGTACTCGCACACACACAAAAGCTGGCATGCTTCAAAAGAAGTGCCTGTCAGAAAGTTTCTAAGAATTAAAAAGAGGCTCGCATCCCACAATTTCTTTTGGGAAAAAATGTCAATTTAATATTGACGCACAATTCAAGCGCCGATTCTGTTTTGTTGCTTTCTTCACTTTTTGTCACTGCAAAGAATTGCAACAGTTTGAACATCTTCCAAGCGAAGTGAGGCAGCCTGAGAACGTGCATTGTTTTCGGCATATGCAAATTCCTCATTGTGTCTCGCCCCTCATCTCGCGCATGTTACGCAACCATCTGTGGAGCAGCTTAATCCTCGGGTTGGCATGTAACTCTTAATCAACTTATCAGTAGGAACATGAAGAGCTGTGCTGGGAGATATCTGATTCTCACAAAAATCACAGCCGCTGTGATGCTGTGTGAAATAGAAAATAAAGACAGAATGAAGGCATTTGGTAATTATTTAAAAGCCAGAGTTTAATTAAAAACCGCACACAGAAAACATCTTAAAAGATCAAAAATGAGAAACTGTGTCATATTTTGAATTGTCTGCTGCCTTAATAATACATGTAAAATGTATTTTGTCATTGCATTGCTTAAATAAGCAAGACCTCCACAGAAAAGGACTTTCAACGTGGCTCCACACGTTTGAGCCAACACGCAGTTTTTGAATTTTTGCTTCTGTGCACCAATCACAGACTTTCAGCTTTAACAAATAAAGGGACTGTCATCAATTTTCTGAGCATCCAAAAAGGTTTGCTTTTAGAAAGCATAGCTACAGTTATCCAGTGTGCATTTTTGTTTAAAAACTTCAATTTAGCGAGCTTCACTTCCAACACCGAGCGGAAACTTCACGCACTGTAAAAGCTGGATGATGTACTCATCAAATTAGCTTGTGTTCTAGATCATTCTCGGGTGGAGAACCGTGAACTTTCCCTCCACACTGCAACACTAAAGCATGCTGAGTGCTACAGCTTTTCGTCTGCAAAAGGCTGCGCGCACACACACACACACACGCGCACACACACACACACACACACACACACACACACACACATCAGCTCCAGTTCACTGGAAATGCAGTAATTTAAGATCTACCAGTCATACATAATTTCCTCAAAAACACGAACAGATGGCCAAATTGCAACGTAAAGAATTTTTAAATGATCCCGGAGACGTTTCTACGGTTATTTGTTGAAGCTTGCCGATCAGTTAGGTTTTGCAAAAGCTCCCCACGGCATATTAAACACTTGTTTCTGACAGATCCACCTGCAGTCTGGGGCGTAGATGCCTTTTGAGCTCCGTTCGTGGTCTCGTGATGCTTTGAAGACTCGCGCACATCAGACCGTTAGTTCAAATCACCAATAACTGGTGTTCAGCCCGACACCGCTTTTGTAGCAGCACTAGTGACTCAAAACAACTTGTAGTCTATTTAGAGATGTCTTCATTTTTTTTAAAAATCATGTGATGTTTTTTGTGCAATCCAATGAAGGAGCGGTGTCAAAAATAAAGTAATCAAATTCTATCTGTCATTAAATTAGAAACCTATAAAGTTCTAAGTTTTCCTAAACAACAGTGAAAGCGAAGCATCAAAGGCTGAGAGAATTAAATGTATTAACTTGGAATTACCAGACATAATATTTTTGTAGCGATGTGCATCGAATTGACACTGTGTGTGTTTCTGTGTGTGCTCCTAGGACATACAACATTAATCTGCTGCCACATCTGCGTTTCCTAGCTTTTAAGGGACATGGCAGGCCAGGCGCAGTGTGTGTGTTTCTCTGTGTGTGTTTCTGTGTGTATGACAGGCTCGTAAAGGGATGTGACAGCAGAGCCACAATCAGGGGCCACCACCCACAGGACCCCAGAGGCTGGACTATACAATCCTGTGCTACACAGACGCACACATGCTATTTACAGAGGGGCACTGAGGTCCCATGTCGCTTGTCACATGTGTTTGTAGCCATCGTCGCTCCCCCCCCTTCCTGCCAGGGGGCCGGCATCTTCTCCCTCTTTTCCCCCCAGATGCCTGCGGATTTTGAAACAAGCTCGGCTAAAAAGGACACAAATGAAATACACATAAACGTTCTTCGACGTTGACAGGCGTGCAAATTAAAGAGGGGAGACGCCACTTTAGCCGTTCGCCCAAAAGAGATGAGTTTCGAGCTGAACGAAGGAGCGAGCGCTCGTTCCGATACCGCTCGGCGTGTTTGCGTGCACGCCCACGTGTGCGCGTCAGCCGTCTGTTCTGATCAAACACACTGGTGTGTAATTGGCTCCCCGTTGTCGCGGTGACCCCTGCGGTTGGAATGTTTGCCGTGATGGAGGACAGGACGAGGTCGCACTGACGATAATGTGCTAGAGATGACACGCGTGCACACGTGCACACTTCAAATAGTTCCTTTAAATGGCACAAGTGTGTTGAAAGATTACTGTTCAGCCTCTGTCATTGTACCAGAGTGAGTGAGAGTGTGTGTGTGTGTGTGTGTGTGTGTACGCGTGCACACCCAGCTTAGCTTCCCCCTGCTAAGTTGTCTTTAAAGACAGCGGGGAGATGAAGCGTAAACACTGTGGAGCACAGAGTGCAGGGCAGCCTGTTACAGACACAGACCGACCAACATTGGTTGTGAGTCAACAGCTCTGAGGTTTTTTTTCTTCTTTTTTTTAAACGCTCATTAGGGATGCATGCCAATCTGGAGAAACTTGATTTGCTGATGCCGTTGTTCATTTGAATGTTTTTATCCCCCCAGTGGCTTCCTGGCTTCAAAAGACGAAACGGCTCCAAAATATTTAAATGAGACATGCATCGAGAAAGCTGCTCAGTATTTCAGGGGGTTTCTCACGCTGTCATGCGCATGGGCTCGCACACATCCAGTTTATAAAGAGTTAGGAGTTCGTATGCCATTTTAAACGTTTGAATCGCCAATGAGGGCTTATACTGTTGGAGTGATGTGTGCATGGGGAAGGGGGCCGTGTGTGCCCGAGGAGCCTACTGGACCAGGGAACAGTTGGGTCTTTGTGGGACAGGAGGAAGGTTTGAGAACACCCTCTCTTGTTATGCTGAAGGGCGGTGTTTGTGTTTCTATCCGCACGCACACACACACACACACGGAGAGAACGACAGAAGGTGTGTTTGTCTGTGAGAGAGCCATAAAGAAATTAGCAAAAGAAAAAGGAGGTAAATGAGGATAAAGGGAAAAAAGGCCTAAAAGTAAAAAAAAAGACAGACTCCCTCTCCACCCACTGTTACTAAGACCATCTTCAGCTGCGGTGTCTCTAAGACTGAGCCCTTGTTTAAGCTGCAACCCACGTGCACCTCTGGTATGCAGTGTCTGCTGTTGCCATGGAAAAGTGAGAAAGCAAGTAAGAGGAAATGTGGCTTTTTTTTTTGAAAGGGGGCAGTTTCTGTGCAGGTCAGCTTCTATTCGACACAGTGGAGCCAGTGGATATAATGCTCACAATACAGACATCACATATATAGAGAGACATACAGGTTATGCGGTGCTCCATTTCTATGCTTTTTCCTTCTTTGACACCATACAGTATGTAATTCCAGCACCCACCGTCGTCTACTGCCCTTTCATTCCCCCTGTGGCCTTGCTGCAAAGTAAACTTAAATAACTCCCCTCATTGCTTTCAGGTGCGCTGTGGCTCAGCTTGCTTAAAGATTTTTGAGATGTTTATATAATACTATATCTTGTGAGACAAACCTTTTTTTGATTCGTTTTTGCTAGTGATATATATATATATTTATATATAAGTATTGATCTAACAGACAAAACAGGCTTAATTTGATCAATCAACTGGGGGCTGAAGAAATGAGATGTGTGCATCAAGTTGATCTGTTTAAAAGATTCACTTGA